ACAAAATAAAATTTTACCGCCACAGCTCACTATACAAATCAATAGCGCGCCGGGGGGAAAATACAAAATTAAACAAAAACTAGTTGCTAGGCAACCTTTCCTCTACTTATCCTGTTAGAAAAACACCACGGGCACGCGTTGGAATAATCCTTTCGCGGCACACGCCACTATTTCACACGAAATTATTAATTTATTTTCACAGCACAACTCAACAAAAACACTACTTTGTACGCCATACTACAACATACTGAAGTATCAAAACACGCGCTTTTTTATTAACGCTGAAATGGTTGAGTAAAGGAGAAGTGTCACGGGTTACAACACTCCTTCTTATGGTAAAAGAAAATTAAAGATTAATCCACCTAAAAGTGAGATGCAAAATTTATTTTTTTAATATGATAAGATACAAAATAATTGTGCTAGGCAAAGCTGTAGGAAACATTACTGTGAACAACTTTGCTCAAGACTATAACTTTCTAGCTCTTATAACTGCTGAGATATGAAGGTTATATTGTGGAGACATCGTTAAAATCAGTTTTGTATATGTAATTTTTTCTATAATATTTCTACATGTTTGGCATATTCTACAAAGATGTTAGAAATAGCAAATTACATATCTTTTCAGAATACTGCAATTTGCTATCATTAATAATTGAAAAGTTTGTTACATTTTTTGGTTGAAAATTACCCAAATTTCAATACCAATAACTTCTAAACGGGCAAAAACGAGCAGGCCATTTTTTGAGCAATTGAAAGTATAAGAAAATGCAATGAAATGGTGAAGGAATCAGACCGCCCCCACTTGACCCTTAACCGAAATACTTGCATTGAAACTTGTCACTTTTCAGAATTTGAAATGGCGATTTTGTGAAACCACGAGTAGGTGTGAAAAGAGGCATACAAATGGATAACCAAGCAACCTGGGTTATTTCTAGTGACTAACAAAACGACTCGGGATCAAAACAAGACCACCCCCAAACAACCCTTGACCGAACCGGTTATGTACTTTAAATATTGTTCGATTTTGTCAATAAACAATACCATCATCATTCATGTTTAATGTGATGATGACAACGGCGAGAATAGTGATATCGACGAAGATTCGAACAATTTGAATCGGAACGTAGATGCAATCAACCGGAGGCCTGTGGGATGTTCTTGACGAAACGGTAAAGAAAGTTATTAATCTACATCTACATTCACTTCATTTTTGAGCATGGTAGAAACACCGTAGTGTATATCCCCATGCTCGAGACTATTTATCAAGAATGACAACAATGGTCAGAGAAGCTATTCCTTCAAACTGGTGGAACCACACAGAATCGATATCGGCGCAATGCAAAACGCATGGCTCAATTAGCTTTCTTGGGATCCCTCTCGGATGAGTTTTGGGATATCTGAATTAAGTACTTACACTCTAAGTTTAAGGACACCCCCACATGACAGAGATATGAACATAACAAATTTGTCATGTTTTAAAAATTTGGTATGTTCATATCTCTGTCATGTTTTCGTTCTCTTTCTATCATTTGAAAGATATTGAATGGAATTTTCCTCGTAGGCAAATTGTTCTAGGGTGAAGTTACAATATTTTTCAAAATTTACTCTGAAGAATCGTGTATGATTTTCTCAGAATTGGGTTGGCCAAATTTTGAAATAAAAGTAGCAGTAGAACACTTATGCTATACCATTCATACAATTCATACCATTCAAATAACCTTTGGAGATCGAAAATTGAACGTAAAATGAGACATCATTAAACAAAACATATTTGCATGGCTTTTTGAGGGTGTCCTTAAACTTATGATCGGTAGTGTATCTGCTTTTACACTCCGAGCATCTAATCGTTTTGTTTCATATGTTAATCTTTCTGACATCAACCCCATCGAAAATTTATGGAAAAAGCTTAAAAGAAAGTTATCTGGTCAAGCATTTTCAAATAAGGATCAATTATGGACCACAATTCAAAAAAAGTGGTATGCTATACCAAAGGAAAATTGTCAGTGCTTGGTTGAGTCAATGACAAGAAGATTGAACTAGGTTCTACTTAACAATGGAGGGCACAGCGGTTACTAAGCGTCATTAGTCTAATAAAACTTTTACGATTATTTTCAAGCTTTCTATACTATAGTTTTATGCAATACACCTATTTCACTGACCAGGCATATTTTATATTTAATTCAAATGAGTGAGTCATTTAATGTTTTAACTTTGAGTATTCACGTGCAGCTACTTAATTTTTATTACACTTTCAAATGCTAAACTGTAAAGTCGAATCAAATGAAGTTGAATGAGTAAAAATTTCATATTTATTTTACCTGAACCTATTTTAATGACCAGCAGTGCTGTATGTTACAATCACAACATTTACTGCGTACGTAGTACACAATTTATTTCTAAAGGATATCAATCATCACACTAAATGACTATTATAGGTGAAATGTCATAACAAGATAGCTTATGTAAACTCTAGGCTGAACTTGGCTTAATTTGCACCAACTTTCCTATGATTCGTATTATTTGAAACATTTTTGTGCCATTTTGAAAAATGAATGGATTCAAAAATCAATTCAAAAAAATCGACTCAAAATGATTGATTAAATCGGTGAATCGATTATTTTCAAAAAAAACAATAATAAATCGATTCACAAAGATCGATTCTTGCCCCAAGATCGCCCAATGCTAAGTGGAACACGGCGGAGAACTGTAGATGGGCATAGACTAATACCAATTCTTTCGACCTGGGTTAACAGAAAACACGGAGAAATCAACTTCCACCTATCGCATTTTTTGTCAGGCCACGGCTGCTTCAGGAAATACCTGCATCAGTTCTGACACGCAGCGTCACTTCTCTGTCCGGAGTGTGGCAACGTGGACAAAACGCCGGAGCATATGGTCTTCGACTGTCCAAGGTTCGTGGCAGTGCGAAGGTAGATGCCCGTCATTAACGTGGAGAATGTCAAATATATCATATTAACAATATGATCCATTCATGCCTTTTCCAAATGTTGCAATGGCGACCCACAAAATATTGCTTCATGCACCATCTAGCGTTGAAAAAGGTCAGCAACAATCAATCAATTACAATCGAAGGGTGCGAATATAGCACTTATTACAAAAGTAAGAGTCAAATTATTTTCATTAATTACATTGTGTATTAGACTGATGCAAATTTTGACATTTTCGCTCCACAGTGCTCAAACGGTTCCAAATCGGGTCCTGATTAGTCTCCCACAATTTGAACTCATTTGATAAGAAACTGACTTGGCACAAACCTTTTGAAGTTTATATGGAAATTACTATAGGAAATCCAAACTTTTTGTTCATTGTCTTCTTACCTTTTTCCATATTGCACTGTTCAAAAATTCAAAAACTATAATTATGGAAAATTTTCTCAGCTTCAACTTAGCAGAATATAGTTGTTGAGCCAAACGTCAAATAAAATAGTTATTAATTGTTTAAGAGATTGATAATCTTATGGCATGATCAAGCAGCTGTTTTGTGAGCAACACTGTATCTTGCAGTGTGACATAGTAGCCATAATTTTTGTGCTCTAGAAACCAGAAACCAGAAACCAGAAACCAGAAACACCAATGTTGCTTGCTGAACAGTTGATTGAGCATAATCATAAGACATTAGTGGCTTGAATTATTGATAACTTTTGATGCTTACATTATATTGAAAAGTGGTTCTGGACAAAGTTGTAGCTGAGAAAATTTGCTACGAGCTCAGTTATCATTTTTTTTTAAGTAGAACGATTTTGTGACATAAGCCTAGTTTTGTTTGTGCCAAGTCAGTTTCTTATTGAATGAGTTCAAATTTTGGGAAACTAATCAGGACCCGATTTGGAACCGTTTGAGCATTGTGGAGCGAAAATGTCATCAGTCTATTGTGTATATTGCTTTAAAATTTATCTGGCATGTCACTGTTGTCATCAAATAAAATAAAATGCTGAAGTACATTCATTTGAAATATTGAACAAATTTTCATTTGGTTTACCCCTCGTGACGATAAACAAATACATTGGTAGCCTTTTTTGGCCACAGAGGTGCTTTTATCGCTAAAAATTCGGTTCGCCAGCTAAGCGAAAGAGTGGAGCATATTGTTAATATAATATATTTGAGAATGTCGTCGATGAAATGTGTCGAGAGGAGGGCACTTGGAAGGCCGTCAGCAGGGCAGACGCTCAAATACTGTTGGAGTTCGAGATGTTTTTATGACAGGTGGGCAAGAACTCACGGTTTTCCAGTGTTGGTGAGTTCTTTGCCGTTAATGTTCACGAAAAGTTCACTATTTTGCCATACAGAAATTCAAAACCGAAATTTTTATAGACGGATTTGGACAGTTTTTGACCTGTTTCATACTACCGGAAGGTGTATGCTGGTCACAAATGCCTTGCCAAACTGATTCCCTACTCAATTAATCAACCTTTGATGTGAATTTCCCTAATAAACACGAGGAGCATTTCTTATAGCAAAACTTGCCATAACAAAATGGGGATATTTCATTTTAGTAAACAAACTAACACTTCTTCTTACCGTGTCACCTATGTATTAGGCGCCTAGGTCGGAGTTGAAGATACCAGACCGTGCCAATTTCACTACAGGCCAAGTTTTTTGAAGCTTTCGTAAACCTTACACAGCAAAAAAGTAATGTTGATATCACATCAATGTGGATGCACTTCAATCGTGTCAAAAATATGGTGTTATATTACTTGCCAAAAAAGTATAAAATTATCACTAATACAAAGCATGAACTGACATAACGTTGCTAAAAGCATTTGTTTTTTTTTTTTAAACATAAAAATAACATGAGATTTTCGACATAATTGAAGTGTATCCTCTTGGATGTTATATTAAAGTTTATTTTTTGCTGTGCAATAAGAAAACAAACCCACACACATACACACACGCACGCACACAAACACAGACATTTTCCTTCTGTTTTCAAGTGATATGTAAAGCCTTTCGGTACACCTCGGTGCAATGATACACATAACATCGCGGGACGAGCTTTTTATTTTCAACCAAGTTTACTGTGTCTAGCACGTTGCATTCATTGAAGTTGTTTCTGCAGAACTTCAATTCTAGCCTTGTAACCATTCACAGTGGCATTGCGATTAGCCAATTCTTCCGTCAATCGATCCTTTTGATAGTTTAAATCTTCCATCTCGGTATCCAGGGTATTGATTTCGTTCAACTTGTCTTGATTGTCACGTTCCTCATTGGTGATCTGTAGCTTTAATTTTTCGTTTTCACTTTCATAATAACTGAAAAGTTGCTGCAGTTTCCCAACTTCTTCTTTCGGTTTTCCCTTCAGCGATTGTTCCTTCTCCGGTAAGGCCTCTGAATACTGACGCGCTATATATGTAACTAGATCCGAATGCACTGCACTTAGCTGATGACTTTCCGCTTTGAAGCTGGTAACATTCTGGTCGAGTTTGGCTACGATTTTATTCTCCTGGTTTAACAGTTGTTGTAGCTCTTTAAGACTACTTTCCGCTAGACTTTTCGCATCTTCCACGGCCGATCCAGCCACCTTGTATACAAGGTTGTCGTCACCATCACAAGGATTCGGTTCATATTTACTGCACGAGTAATTTCCTCCTTCCCGTTGAGCGGTGCCTTCCTGAAGGGCCTTGAATTCTTGTTTTCGGTACTTGATCAATCGATCGGCGTATGGAGCTTCACTTGACGTGCAGCAAATAAAATCATGTTCCTGACGACAGTTTATATCTCTTGAACGTGGCCCTTGGATTGTCTTTGGCTTCATTTTTTTCAAAACTTGCTCTAGATTTTTGCAGTCCCAATCGTTGTCAAGTAGGTTAACCTCCTTAAGTTGATTGTTAATATTGACCACATTCATCCACATAACTATTTTGTTATTCTGCAGATATAAATTTCTTACGCTAGGAAAAACGACGCGTGACTCAGAGAACGTTGTGAGAATATTATGCGATAAGTCAAGATACTCCAGCGATTGGAGGGATTTATATCCAGAAATGATGTGAATGTGGTTTCTTGCCAGTTTCAATGAACGAAGCGACGTCGATAGTTGGTCGACCTTTAACTCGCTGAGATCATTGCAAGAAAGATCCAATTCTTGCAAATTTGGCAAATTGGTGAATTTATTAAGTGAGTCAAATTGATTTTTAGGTAGTATCAATCTTTGAAGTCTACTTTGCGATCTAATTGTAATATCATAGAGATGGTTTCGTTCCGCTATGAAATCAGTTACCGACGGTGGTACAGAAACTGTTCTCAATTGATTGTAGGTTAGATCGACAACTTCAAGGTGACTGTTTGAAATGTTCCAAAACATATCTTGCGTCATCAAATTATACGACAGGTTAAGCTTTAGCCATTGTTCTGCCAGTGGATGCTGGTACTCGTCCAACAAATTTCCGTGTAAATCAATCACTAGAGCCCCCGGATGTTTCTGCGCCACTTCATTAACATCCTGGGGGTTTTGAACAATCACTCTCACATGGTTACACGTATTGCCATCCAAGCAGTTGATCACAGCACTCGCCGAAAGCAATCCCACAATGGATGCTGTCCTGCAAATACCAACAATTCTTCAAATGCTTTCCATTCGATGCAAGGCACTTGCAATAATTTACCACAGAAATCCCAGCAAGACAGCTCTCCGCATTATTCAACACCACACAGAATAATTTAAACGTAAAAAAAAACCTTCCTACCAAGCCAAAAGCACAACTGGAAATGATCGTTCATCTCAGCAGCGCTCACGTACAGAGCCGACGACTTTTTAGGGAATTCCCCTGCCGTGTGCGATAAGCGACGAGACCACGGGGTCATCACCGGCACCATCGTGTGCCGTTCTACCGAGGACAACATTGTGGGACAGAGCGAGAAAGAAAACGTAAACATAAAGCTGGGTTTAGACTAGGCAAGTCTCTTGATCAACTCAGTTGAATTCAATTGGCTTGAAAAGTTGAGCCTGGTCCAACTTTTTTCAACTCAAGTGAGTTGATCAAGTCAATTGAATGGCATGGTTTACACGTTCAATTCGCGTTCAAGTCAGTTGAATTCAACTGACTTGATCAAATGACTTGCCTAGTCTAAACCCAACTTAAGAGGGATTGAATTAACTCAATCTACGCTCGGGGAATTCCTGATCGAGCCAAGACATACCTTCCACAACAAGTGAACATACAACAGAGCCTGCTTAATCTTTTGCTCTGATGTCCGGGGATTTTCGATCCTGTCTATTATAAGGCAGAACTGCAGCTTCTATGATCACTTTTGCTAACATTGGTGTGCTTCATTTCATTCAATCATTTTAAATGGTATGATACAACGTCAACGTAGATTAGGTTAACTGTGCATGATGTAAATATTAATAGTCTTCCTTTTTCTCTTCATGTCAAAAAATATGGCATAGGTCACCGATAAAATTCAACTCGGTATTCAATCAAGAATACAAAAAGCTTTCTCTCAAATTCTAACTTATTACTCAGGACTGATCATTAGATGTTATGAGGATATTTTGCACTTGTTAGTTACAAAAAGAGGTTGTAAAGTATGTAATTGACGCATGAAACCTGTCAATTATGTGGAATTCAGTGATTTTATTATCTCCGGAAGCAAATGCCTGTTTACAATAAAATTCAATACAATTCTACGAAAAGAAAATTGCACTCAAATCAGTTCAGCCATCACCGAAGCGGCGCCGGTGTTGTAGTGGTAAGCTTGATTACCTCTCACCCCAGCAAGCCTGGGTTCAATCCTAGTCGGCGCCGCCTGGATGTTCTAAGGCATAACATCTCTGATCAACACAGCCTTCCCGGGAATAGGTATCACGGGAAGTAAAGGCTACAAAATGGTGAGTGACAATCTGGAAGGAGCAATATACCTAGCTCCGGTCCTCACAAGTTCCTACCTCACGCCTCCACGAGTCATATGATCACAAAAGACTGCCAGCTGAAACATGGACACAGCTGGTTGGCGTAGCCTGGGCAATCTTGTCAATCCGACAATAGCAGAGTGAGGAGGTGCGACGCAAACACTGGCGCGGTAACCATAGCACGGTGATAGAGGAAATGCTTCGCCAACCGGAGCGTCTGTTCACCATGGAAGTGCGGCTCAAACAGCGTCTGACTGGCATCCAGCGGCTGAATAAGAAATGCTCTTCCCCGGAAGCTACACTTAAGATGGCAGCCCCATCACAGCGGATAGGAGACCTTAGGCCAACCACCTACTGTCTCTGAAGCCATTACAATTGTTACCGAAACCAACAGAGAAAGACATCGAACTGATTTAACGGCAACGACTTTTAGCGCAAAACAACGGACACGAATTGGATCAAGGAATGTATTGACGTTAGCCCAGCAGGGTAAACTGGCACAACTCGCCAACGAGGCGTGACGCATGAAGCTAGAAATCGTGGGACTGAGTGAAGTTCGTTGGTCAAACTTTGGAGAAGACAAACTGCCGTCGGGCAGGTACTACTATACTCTGGTATTCGAGGTGAAAACGCTCCCCGCCATCGTGGAGTTGGTCTCCAACTTAGCGTCCAGGCAAGTGCTGCGCTCATCAAGTGGGAGCCTGTTAATGAGAGGATAATCGTTGCCAGATTTAGATCACGGGTTCGTAACCTTACCATAATCCAATTTATGCGCCAACCGATGCTGTCGAGCTACAGGACAAGGAGAATTTTTACAGTCAACTGAATGCCATCGTGGATAAGGTTCCAAAGGGTGACATCAAGATATACACTGGCGACTTCAATGCGAAGATCGGCTCCTACAACTCGGACTATGAGCGTGTCATGGGACGCCATGGTCTCGGCGAAATGAGTGAGAACGGTGAGCTGTTTGTAGAATTTTGTGGCAATAACGACATGGTGATCGGGGGCTCGCTCTTCCCCCATCGGCCAGTGCACAAAGTCATGTGGGTTTCTCGTGATGGACATACCGAAAATCAGATCGACCACATCTGCATCAGCCGAAAATGGAGATGGAGCCTTCTTGATGTCCAGAATAAACGCAGCGCCGACATCGCGTCTGACCATCACCTTCTAATCGGCAAAATGGCGCGGATCCAGCGACGGGAGGAGAGACTCGGGCGGCGGTTCAACACACGCCGACTTGAAGATCCAGCGGTAAAAAGGTCTTTTGTTGAAGAACTTGAGACTCGAGCTGCGGACGTTCCAGATGGTGGCAGAGTAGAAGAACAATGGACGGCTATCAAGAATGCCTTTATAGAAACAAGCGAGAACAGATGAACAGATGAAACCTGGCGGAAGACTGAGGAGCGTAGAGAAGCAAAAGCCGCGATAGAGCGGGCGAGAATCAGAGAAGCCAAGAACGAAGCCCGTCAACGGTACTCGGCTCTAGAAAAGGAAGTCAAGCGCTCTTGCAGACGGGACAAGCGAGCGTGGGTGAACTCTCTGGCCGACGAAGGGGATAAAGCCGAAAACACTGGCGATAAACGCCTCCTCTACGATATCTCACGACGCCTGAGTGGAGCAAGGATGAACCCGAGGATGCCAGTGAAGGACACGACTGGACAATTGCTTACCGACCCCACTGACCAGCTGAAACGCTGGTTTGTTCACTTCGAACAACTTCTTCAAGTTTCGACGGCCAACCAGTCATCAACATCTCGGCATGATCCGCCTAGGGTGTGGCGCATCACTCGCGTCAATTCCGAGGCCCCATCACTGCAGGAGATTGAAGCATCTATCCGATGCATGAAATCCAACAAGGCTCCAGGGGTCGATCGCATATCAGCAGAGATGCTCAAAGCTGACCCCATGCTATCCGCACAAATGTTGCATCAACTATTCTGTAATATCTGGGACACTGCGACTTTTCCGGCCGACTGGATGCAGGGCATCTTAGTGAAGGTCCCAAAGAAGGGGGATCTGATTGTGTGCGACAATTGGCGAGGCATTATGTTACTGTGTATTGTTCTCAAAGTTCTGTGCACAGTTATCCTGAATCGGATACAGGAGAAGATCGACGCGACTCTCTGGCGGTAGCAGGCAGGATTCTGATGATCTTGTGTGGACCATATTGTCACGTTCGGTATCATCCTGGAGCAGGTCAATGAATTCCAAGAGTCCCTTTATTTGGTATTCATTGACTACGAAAATGCTTCCGACCGACTCAATCACGAGAATCTGTGGGGCGCCTTGAGAAGCAAGGGAGTCCCGGATAAAATCGTCAACCTCATCGAAGCGCAGTATCAGGCTTTCACGTGCAGAGTTCTGCATAACGGAGCCTTGTCTGACCCTATCCGAGTAGTCGCTGGTGTGAGACAAGGATGTATACTATCACCGCTACTGTTCCTCATCGTACTAGCACAACGGCGCGTATTATATATAGAGTAAGCTCAATGACCTAGGCGAACGCTCCTCTGCGGTGGGTCTCACTATCAATGTCAACAAGACCAAATCGTTGGATGTCAACACGGGCAACCCTTCCAACTTTACGGTAGTGGGGCAAACAGTGGAGAAGGTCGAAAGTTTCCAATATCTTGGCAGCCAAATAGCGTCAGACGGCGGGACCAAGAGCGACATAGGTGCACGAATCAAGAAGGCTAGGGCTGCCTTTGCGAGTTTACGAAACGTATGGAGATCAAACCAGATAAGTCCGAATGTTCAACCCGAACGTGAAATCTGTATTGTTATACGCCAGCGATACGTGGTCTGTATCAGCGGAGAACACTCAGAAGCTGCAGGTCTTCATCAACCGATGCCTGCGGTATATAATTCGTGCCTGGTGGCCTCACAACTGGATCTCGAATGCCGAGCTCCATTGTCGATGTCATCAGAAGCCGATAGCAACAGTAATTCGAGAGCGAAAGTGGAGGTGGGTCGGCCACACACTTCGACGGGGCGGAAACGAAATCTGCAAGCTAGCGCAGGACATCGCAGCAGAGGCAGACCCAGGGGCTCATGGCAGCGGAGCCTCAATAAGGAAATTAAGCAAGTCGATAGGAATCTGACCTGGGCCTAGGTCAAGGCAAAAGCGAGCAGCCGCCCAGGATGGAAGTCTTTCACGTTGACCCTTTGCACCACTGGTGGTGCACAGGACCCTTAAGTAGGGAAGTAAAGGCGTTAGTCCCCGGTTCATGAGTTTATGGGTCGATAGGTAGGGTCCAGGAGCTGCCTTCCTGGTGTTGGTAGCATTGGTGCTCAGCACGGAAAACAAAATCGACGAAATACAAATTACGGAAGAAAATGGTGACGTAGGACTACGTGGTCTTATATAGTAAATCTTCTTTGTTAACAGCAGCAGGAGCTTTTGTTTTGTGTAGGAATAGGAATGTGAGCGCGGTTCTCTCTGTTTATACTTTTTAGTATGACGCGCTTGACATATATGGCCCACAGCTACTCACGAAGAGCTACTGATTCCGATCAATAGCGGTGCGGCTGCTCCCTGCTATGAGCGCTGCAAATAGACGTCAACAGCAACGCACGGTGGGGTTGACTTCGTGTTTACGCAACCGTTAATTAACGACCCAACATGATGTGTTTAGTACGAAATTGCTTCAAAACTAAATAAGATAGAAAATTGGTGTCAAAGACAGAGTTGTAGAACGCATTGAGAGGCATCTTATGGTTGGACAAAACAATGCACTTTAATACGTATTTATTTTTAAATAATAAGGGAAACCCGTAGGAAAAGACAAGTTTTAGACTCGTTTATCCCTAAAATGTTTCTAAATATAGCTTACTTAAAGTAGGAATGACACTATTA